AATGATCATAATGTATTAAAAATCTAATAATATAAGTAAGGCATAATGATCATTCTTAGTTACCAAAAAAGATTTTATAATTCTTATGTGTTCTTGTAAGTTTAATTCTTTAGCAACTAGTGGTAAGCTTGGCCAGTCAAGTACTACCTTTATGAGAGTTACAGATTTTAATACTGTTTTTAAGTACAAAGATTCTTAAAAACTTATGTTAATACAAAGAATAAAATATTTGGAGAATCTTTTTAATGTCATATATAAAGTCTAGGGAATGAATCTTAAAAAATTAAGGAAAAATCAACAACCTTAACTTTAGCATCTTATCAAGATAGCTTATCAAAGTTGATTTTCCAAATTTTGATTGATTTTTACATTGTTTTTCTGCATATAAAAAGCTTTTCAAAGGTTTCTTAGTTTAAATCTGGCTCTTCAGTATTTTTTCTTAATTAAACAAAGCTGCAGGAGGTTCTTGAGATAATTGCTCTCTGCTTTTAAGTTAAATTGGTAAAACTGATGTCCCATAAGAGTGACAAGGTATATATGCAGAATAATGGGGGATTTAATTCTTCAAAGTATTTACTACAAAATAATTCTGATAGGATACCTTACCTCCACCCACAAAATAGCTATTCCCTGATTAGCACTGCCCCCTATTGCCCCAAATTTTCATTGCTTGTCACTAGCCTTCCATCTCCCACTTCTGCATATTCACATGTAAATGATTATGCTCAACTCTTCACCAATTTCAGCACAACAAAACCCTTATCATAACAAGCACCCTCTCCACATATGCACGCTTTAATAATTTCTTGATTGGCAGTAGTACTGTACAGACGTGCTTGTTTTTACTCACAAATTTGTTAACATTTTCCTGTATACTAGAAACTTAATTTTTCTTTACTATGTTTTTGTTATATCTTTATTTATAGGGGGTATTTTGCTAGTGTATTGTAGATCCCTCTCTGTGATGAGTGGTGCCTGACCAAATATACTTTTTTAAAATCTGCACTGTTCATCCTGTGACCATATTCGATGTCAATTAGATTGTAGCTCTTCCTACTGTGGACCTAATGCACAGTTCCACATGCTGTCAAGTTTGGGTTGTGTGTCTCTGTTTAATTGTCATCTATGTCAAACAATTACGTCACAGGATTAGGTTATGCACACCATAGAGATGGCATGTTCCATAGGACTGTTACAGTAGTGTCTGGAGGATATGACCCCTCCCAGTAACGACTTCCATTTAAATACAACTTTTTTTCTGTGCATGGAACAATTTTACATTGATTTGACCTCTCACGAATGAATTCTTGATAGATTTGACATATGACCGTGATTTTTGGGCAGGAGGTCGAATAATGACCTCTCTATAATGACTTTTCGTCATATCAATAATGTAATTTACAGAGACACATGAATACAGTGTATACAGTATTGAACAAAGAGGTCTTCGAACTGGATCATCGAGAGCCCTGGTGCAAAGTGCCATCATAGGTTGAGAAAGGATTCCATAGTAAACCGAAAAGGAACTAAAAATTGGTTGAGTCGAGATAGATTGATGATTGGACGACAATCTCCTGTCTTCTTGGGTACAACAAATAAATGGGAATAAAATCCTGGAAGAATGGGATCAACCATATCTACTAACATATCTACTTTTGACTAATAACTCTCTTATAGTCTGGGAATGAAGATACACTCGCCATGGATCTGTTGGAGGTGAAAAGGCAACAGGTTGTGCAGATAATGGTGGAGGTGATGTAAATTGAATGACCAACCCTGAAGCCACAAAATGGTGTACCCAAGGATCCCTGGTGAAAGAATTCCACATGTCCAGAAAGTGATGTAAACATGCTCCCACTGCTCCTCAACCCATGGGATAGTAACCAACGCCATTGTCGATGATCTATCTGAGTCAAAGATCCTTGAGAATACAGATGGACTCTACTATGGGAATCAATACACCTGGGAACTGAAGGAAGGGGTCGAGAAACAGTATGAGCCGACACTCCCAAATGAACAGTATGAGCCGACACTCCCAAATGAACAGTATTAGCCGACACTCCCAAATGAGTGCCAGAAAGGTGAGAAGCCAATGACAATAAAGAAGAATGTAAACAAGCTGAATCAATTCATGATTCTAACGTCTCTGGAACTCCAGCAAACATCATGGGATGGAGAAAAGAGCTTCACATAACTCCCTGAGGGCAGAAGATGGTAATTGAACACTTTCTAACAAAGCATCTCTACCCAATAAATCCCAACAACAAACCAGCCAGAAAACCAGACAAAGAGCTGAAGAAGATAACCTGACTGAGTTAGATGTCAGCAAAATCTCCAACTCCTCCTCAAATTGCTGAGGGGAACATTGATAGGCTTCCACCAAAGGTTGGATCGAAGATAAATACCTCAGGTCAGTTGTAAGAGTAAGACGGATCCGAGAAAACTGTGATCTATTAAAAGTGATCACAGGTTCCAATCTAGACCCCCACAGGTACAAAAGGTGGTCCATCTTTTGAAAATCTAAATACACCTCCTCCTAGCAGTGATAAGCCAAAGCATGCTGTTCTGATAACTATGGGGAACAAGGCATAGCTATTCCATCACATAACTGAGTAGCAAATCTCCTAGCATGAACAGCAATATCAGGAGAAAGAGGAAAACCAAGTAGTCATGTGCCATCCTTTCTACCAACAAGGAAGAAGTAGAGTCAAATGCAATAGAAAAGACCCCCAAAACCTCACAAACTGGAGTAACCATCTGAAGAAAAAGGGCTGGAGGTGGCTGATCAAGCTGATCCTCTGTTGAGACCAACCTAGTAAAAGGAGGAGCTGGGAAAAGGGAGTCTAAATTCTCCCCAGCTGGTCCCAGGTCATTTGCAAAAGCCACCTCAGAACTCCCCCAGAGAGACACCCTCGGTCCTCATATATGTCTCCATCTCACAACGGATCATATCATGGACAGCTTCGACTGCAAGTGACCCTCTCATGGCCATTGACAAACACCAGATAGCAGGGGTGGAAGAGAAGAAGTCTGGCTTTCTTCCAAAGTAGAAACATTAACTCAGGAATTCATACCCATCAGTACATTTTTTTTGTTAAAGTAACTTATAAATATAAAGAAAGATATAACCGTAGTAGCACCAACCACGTTCAAAGTTGTAACGTAAATTGTGAATAATCACAACACTCTTGTTTATAGAAACCTATGCCAAATGTTTTGATGAGAAAAAGTGATTACATTATCTAAATGAGGTGTTTATATACAATACCTAGACAGAGAGTGCATTGAAGTTGGTGGAGAATTTTACAAATTAAGATTTGCAAAGAGCATTCAAGTGGGGTATAAAAGACTGGAGCAAGCATTTTCAATGCTTAGATGGGCAAAGAGTGGAAACCCTGGAGATTGAGAAATAGCTATAGTGTCAGAAGAGGTAAGTATGTTTAGGAAAACAATTTACTTGAACCCACAGATTTAAAGTGTAGTTTCACTATAATCATTTTTGTTGTGTAGTGTTTTAGTTGTTATACCTAATTTTTTAGTTATTACAGCAAATTGTAACTGTTGAAGTTAACTTATCCAACAGAACTTATTGAGTTCCAAGGTCATATTAAGCAATCCATGACTAACAGACTTCAGCAGTTGTCCGCTCCTGATATCTACTGCTCAATGTTTTACCAGTAGAGACTTCTCAGCAGTAAATTAACATTCATTCAAATGAATAATATACCAATATTTTACTCAATTTGCACAATTTGCAATATAATGGTTTATAAAGAACTTAATTATTTATATATGAACAAATTAATATATTATACTAAAAGTTTGAAGCATATGTTACATAACTGACACTTGTACTTAATGCAGTTTGGTATACATTTGTATCTATTAACACATAAATACACCGTTATAGATACAAACTAATAACATCATGTAATTATAAAGGTACTTTAAAGCAAAACTTACATTTTCCTACTTATTTGAGAAAATGCATTAGTGGTCTAATCTAAAAACTACTTCTTAAACATAAATAGTTTTTATTACTTAATTATATTAATTCATTTTCTTAACATCTTAAAAATAAAAAAAATTTATTCGGCATAAAACAATAAATTTTGCATTGCTACTTTTTAGTCTACACTTTAATGAAAATATCAACAATAGTTTTAAATGTACATTTCAATATTTCATTTATACTTTACATATAAATTATAACCCCAACCAATGAGGATCATATTTTCTGAAATACCACTATTACATCATTATTTACCAGCCATTCAAAAAGATCAAAAAGCTTCGTTCCATAAACTTGTTGGGTAAATAGTGAACAGCCTACATAAAAGATACCATAACACAAGGTAAGAATATGGTCACTCACAAAAACAAGGACAAAGTATCTAAGGTTACTTAAACTATCATTCTCTACAGTCTTGTCCTGTGTAATTAATTATAAATCTGATCTTCTGGAGTAGCAGCCACCATACATAAAACAGATCCAAGGGGAAATATACAACTGATGTCAGCTATGGAACTAAAAAGCATTATGAAATATTATGAATTATGTTTTAAAATATAAAAATCAATAATTAGATGGAGAATTTCACGCAAAGCTATGCAAGGGCTATCTGCGCTAGCCATCCCTAATTTAGTAGTGTAAGACTAGAGGGAAGGCAGCTAGTCATCACCACCCACCGCCAACTCTTGGGCTACTCTTTTACCAACGAATAGTGGGATTGACAGTAACATTATAACGCCCCCAAGGCTGAAAGGGGGCGAGCATGTTTGGTGAGACGGGGATTCAAACCCGCGACCCTCAGATTGCAAGCCGAGTGCCCTAACCACCTGGCCATGCTGGGCCCTAGATGGAGATAAAAAAAAAAATCTGTGTGAAACATCTGAAGCACAATACAAGCTTGACAAGAATTCATTGGAAAATAAATAACCTGAAGACAGACTGCTAATAATTATGTACAATACACTGACATAAAATAGACCATATTTACCTGGCCAGAGAAAGCACTAAAAATTGTATAATACACTTGAGGAATGATGAAAGCTATATTCTGAAAAATAATAAGAAAAAATAATTATGATCAAAAAAGTGTACAGCAACTGCTCATACAGCAGAAATATTTAGCAGTTGAAATATAACTACTATGACACAAAACTGATGTATGTTTTGAATTTTCTGTCATAATGTTTGTAACATTTTGGGTTACATGTTAAAGAAATAGTGTAACATGTTAATACAACTCAGGAATCATTTCAGTATTTCAGGTGTGTATGTATGATAGTTATTAAATTGTCAGCTTAAATTACATACAAGAAGATATTTTAAATAAAACTGACTTTAAATTTTTTTGTCAACACAATTAAATAGAAATAGTTATGATTACTTTTATGTTTTACAAAATATAATATTTGATGGTAGCTAAGTCCTTTATGTTCATTTCTCAGTTGAACCTTGTGTTCCATTGCATGCATGATTTAATCTAATAATACTAAAGTTAGCTAAGGCAAGGCCAACTGCACGGTGAGACTGATAATCTTGTATCTTCATCTATGCATCTTAAAAAGCTTTTTTGTCTCTATAAGACAAATTGATTGCCAGCTACAAAACACCTATACTACAAATCACCCATACCATTACCTTTGTTTAACTAATACTTTACTATCTGATCCTACTAACAATACAATGCCAAAAACCAAGAAGATTAATAAACATGTTGGAAGGCCAGATCATCTAGTGTTAAAGAACAAATGTTACAAGCAAAAACTTTTTCCGCTATAAGCGGCTCTGAAACAAATATATTTTAACCTGAATCTTACTCAACCGATAAACACCTCATCAAATCCTCATTAATGTGATCTAATGAACTAATGAAGAGAGTGCTAGGCTATTGTACATAATAATCAAAGCCTATATATGTGAATATACAAATACTATTGGCTACAAGTAGAATGCTAAAAAAAAATCAAATTAAATGTAAAATTTTGAATTCCCAATATCGAGACTTAAGCTTGATGTAATGATAATCTATCTGTTGAAAGAGCTAAGGTTTTATAACTTTTCTTTATCCTATGCGTTTTTTCACAATCATGAACTTTAGTGCAAGTGGTAATGCTCAGCCTGCAATAGCAAATGATTTACATTCATATCCCAGGTAAAGGTTGATAACCGAAAAATTAGAATCACATTATAACGACATAATGGCAAATCTAACAACATTTTATGGAGGTTTTATACAGAAAACATTTTTTAAAACAAATGTACTCGAATTTTGTAGACTGAAAATTGCAAGGAATTCAAATGTAAACACAAGTAAATTATTGAAACTTCTTTTCCCATTACTAATAAAAATGCAAAACAACATTACTTTGTAAAAAAAGTACTGCACCAAGGTAGAAATGCGAATATAGTAATAATGACCATGAACAAGCAAGATACGCTGCAAAAATCTAAAACGAGCAAAAGCAAAATCACTGCATCGTACTGCCTGACGACCTTCTTTACCTATAATACCTGCAACAGAATAAAATAAAAAAGTAAGTTCCAATTATAAATTCAGTTTGTTTTTTGCTTTTTTTTATCAGCACTAGGCCCAAACTTATCTTAACAATTATCAGCATAACAGTGTAATGTATTTTATGCTTTACAGTATAACATCAGGAACTTTTTTCTCTATTAGTTTAATAATCTTCACAAGTTCATAATTTTGTCTATAAAACATTCTAAAAACAGAACAGTACAATTGACAAATGATTCATGTGTTTAAACAATAAGAAGTTTCAAGCTAAAAATTAACAAAATAGCAGATATAAATAGTTTTAATACATAAATCTTTCCTGTCCTTTTTTACTACTTTCTATTTACTAATTATATATTCTTTTCTAAATATTATAAGTTATTTATGTTATTTTAAGTATAGAAAAAAAATAATTATATAAAATACGAAACATAATCTCTTATTGGATAAAAATTTACCCAAACCAACATGAGCTTCTTGAATCATGCTGACATCATTTGCTCCATCTCCAATTGCAGCGGTGACCACCTTTTCAGATCCATGCTTGATAAACTTTACAATCTGAAAAAAACTTTGTTGATTTATTTACAGAAACTAAGCTTTCTCTTTTCACTCAGCTTTTAAAATAACTGTGCAAAGAACATGCATTAATGAATCCATGAACATTCATTGCAAATGCTTATTTGACAAAACAATATACATTTAAATACATCTAGGCTAGCTACCTTGTATTAATATCTCATCACAACATTAGTTGAAATTTCACAGAAATAATTCAGGATATATAACCAGAAATGATGTTTAATATTTCAGCAAAAACAGAATATATTAAAAAAATATAACTAAATGGTTTATACTAAATATCAAGCAAATGTAAATTAATATTAAAGTATAATATGAATAATCATAAATGAGAGAAAATTATACTTTAAAAATTAATAATCTGTACTATGCAATTTAAACAAAAAACTTGATTGCAGAACTTATGACCCTTTTCTAGTATAAATTTGAAGAAATTTTTATAATTCATATTGTAATATTCAAAACCCTTTAAATAGTAAATGTTTACATTTCATCTTCATTGATTTAAAAGATAGCAATAATTCATGGATATGTAAGTTCTAAGTTAAAAAATATGAAAAAGGATTGATTTAATAATAACTATGCAATTAAAAAAAGTAGATTACAAACTTCATGGCCATTTTCTTGTACAAACTTTGAGAACTTTTTATAATATGCAAATCCCCTTCAATAGTAAATGTTTGCACTTAATTTTCATTAATTTAAAAGATAGCAATAGTTCATGGATAATGTAAGTTCTAAGTTAAAAATATGAAAAAGGATTTATTTAATAATAACAAAACTTTTCAACAACAGTGCTATCTAACAGCATTATATGTGATATGGGGTGACTGGACTCAGCTATTCAAATTTCAATAACATTCATCCAGAACCTTTTTTTTCTTGTTCTAAATGTTAACATTTTCCTGAAAATGTATTTGAAAGATAGTTACCTCTCTGCTCCACTAAGAGATACTACATCCATGCACAATTTCCATGTAATTTCTTGAGAATGCCACAAACCTTCAATAAACTCCCATCCCTACATTTATTGTGGCTGCCTATGAAATAGTTGTCATAATGCTGTAGCCCTCCCCAAATATGAGAATCCTACGACCAACATGCATACTTGATAAGGCAAAGAAAATGTACCAGAAATGGAGAGAAAAGGTAAAGAAAATATTAACTTCAAAAATGTTACTTACCTCGCTGCACCACTAAGAGCTATAATCCCACATTAAAAAATGGTGGAGGAGCTGATGCAGACCAATTACAAAGATGAGCTCCTTTTTCAAATGTGGCAGAAAGGGAAAATGACTTCCACAAAACAAGGGGTTGCCTATTGAGCAGTACTCAGTGGAAGATCACTCTTTGTTCAATATTCTGATATTTATTCATTGATATATTTCATATACATTACAGAAAGATTTACTGTAAATGATATCAGGTAAATCTAGTGTCAGTAGTAACATGTTACAAAGGTTGGCAAAACATTAGAATGTGTAGTGTGGTTATAGCTCTAGGCCATCCAATCTTGGAACAAGCAGCTCTCACCTATGTTCCAAAGGCAAATCCAAGTCCAATCCAGCTGGACATATCCACCACTAACTGTTGGGAGAAAAAAGTAATGAAGTCTCCTGTACTACACTTCCAGGAAACATACCAGCACTATATCTCAAATGAGGAGGGCTCAACCAGTCTCTTACTGAGAGGAAACCACCTCTAACAAAGAAAACTCTTGATACTGATATTGCCAGCAGCTTAGGACTGGGGAAGTAAGGGTTCTTCCATGCTCCACTGGAGAGTGTGAGTGGACCACTGCCATAAGATACAACCATCTGGAATTGGGTCCCTGCTGAGAAACAGTGCAATGGATTACTATGACTAAAGACAACAAGTGTGAGCCAGGGGTAGAGGCAGTACCACACCTGGTGCTGTTTTTGTGTGTGTGTGTGTGTAAAAGATGCAGAAATTATCATGTCAATTGTATGTATATATTGTCAAGACAGTCTTGCAGAAAGTCCCATATCAACAGTGGGCACTGTGCAGGGGTGGATGGGATTAACACTTTCTGTTTTCCTGTGCTCAATGTGGATTTTGGGTAAGTACTCCTTATGAGGCAATATTGGCCATTTAGTGGATTCCAATGGCATAAGCATAAGGGACAGAATGTGTAGTTACTCATGAAACATTAGATCTGGTGAGCCTTGCTTCTTTCTTTTTTTCTGATTTGTTTTTGTTTCAGATGAAGACTTGCAATGTGTAGTAATGTGCACAAAAACCATGGTACACACATGGAGGAGTTATGAAATGTATGAATGACACAGACTCACCATACCAGAGTCTCTGGGTAGACTGGATGGAGGCAAAAGACAAATGCACATGAAACAGCCCAATGATGCAAGTAATATAAGATGAATGTGTGAGATGTAGTCCACATACCAGCCTGTAAAATCTCCTCCAAAGGTCAGTGACAAAAAAAAGAAGCAAGAGAGGCTGTGATATGCCAAATCTGGTTGAACATGATGTAGATGAATGTATGGTCAGAATATACGAAATTTAGGAGCTGCCAAATCCAACCAGTTAACATGGAAGGAGACAAGTTCAAGATGAGGAAGTCTGCCACAGTAAAAAACAGGCAATGATGATTTCATGAAAAATGGCAGTCTGAGCAAGATAGCAACAATGGACTTTCCATATATGACACAAAAATAATTGAGGTTGTAATGATCATACAATGAGGAAAGAGATGAGAGAAAACATCAGTTCACCTTTCCATGCTGTAAAGGTCTACAGAAGAAAAGAATGGTCCAGAAAGAACACCAACTGATCCCTATGATAGGGAATACTGGAAGTGTCCTAGGCATAAATATCCAAATGATGATGCCCACAAGCAAGGAATAAGAAGAAAAGACAAGATAATACAAGGATCTGGATGCCAAAGGCTCAAATGGGGACATGTAAGAACCTGAAGAACCACACAAAGACCACAGTCAGGAAAAGGAACCAGACAAGGGGGTAATGGATGGATAAAGAAAGCCTTAAAGAGAAGAAGTGAAAAGAAGAAATTATTGCCTTGCTAGAGGCGGAAGGTCAAAGATAATTCTGCCCAATAACTTGCAGTGGTGAAGACAAACAAGATTTTGTTGAAAAGGCAGGTAAAGAAGGAAGTAAAATGTAGAAGAGTAGGATGACCCAGCCAAAAAGAGCATTGGAGAGAACAGTGGTGATAGAGAGTCCAATTATGCTGATAAAGGGCAAGCATAGAAGTTCTACAACAACAAGAAAGAAAACAGGCTACTCCATGGAAAATCCCATATATCATGTGAGAGACTGATCATATTCCATATATGAAGTCAAAAGTGCAAGACCCTGTTGTGAAAAAGGTATGACTGAGGTCAACTGAGGAAAGATCTTAGAACAATGAGAAAAAAAAAATGCGCTACACCATGAGAAATCCCATATATCACATGAGAGACTGAACAAATTCCATACATGAAGTCAAAAGTGCAACACCTTGTTATGAAAAATGTATGACTGAGGTCAACAGAGGAAAGACTTCCAAGGTGGGAGTCACAAAAGTATTGATCTTTGGGGTTTTGAAATGGGAAAGAAAACCAATGAAACACTGAAGAATGTAGGGACCACTCTGTAGGATACATCCCATCAAGACAAATGAGGCAATCTGCCACCAGATATAAACCCCAGGTTTATGACGTGTAATAAGGCGAATACAAAGATTGTAGGGCCAAGAGAAGAAGTCCAGAGTAAAAAAAAATTGGTTCTGAGAGACAACTGCAAACTAAAAAGGGGACAAGCCTGATAAGCTACAATCATCCCCAGGAAATTGATATGCAGAGAACAATTCTCTAGAGACCAATCATCATAGAGTGTAATGGTGTTGAGAAGACCACTCCCAAACTAGAAAAAGAGGTATCAGTGTAAAGATGCAAATTGGGATGAGATGGGGAATAGTATACCTTGGGTTGCATTGGAGCAATTGAGCCACCATGAAGAACAGATGTAGAAGAGAAGGTAGAGACATAAGGGCAGATAAGGGATAACAGAACATGTTCAAAATATCTCCAAGAGTTCACTGAGGGAAACATATGCACATGACTGAGAGGAATCTGAGTTCCTAGGGAAGCAATAGTCTCTAAATGCAAGAGAGAAGTGCCTTGGTTGCTTAAATCTCTATGACACAAATACACAAGGGAGAGATTTGAGTCCACTCCATGTGGAAATTGAGGAAAAGACCCAAGTGGACAAGAAACTGATGGTAAGTCAAAACAGACTTGGAAAGTTAGACCAGCCAGCCAAGGTGAGAGACCTCCCAAAAGAGAGTGGAAATAGCAATCACTGATTCCTGTCAAAATGGGACCAAGAGAAGGTGGACAACCATATAATAACAGAAATGAAAGCTCAGAAAATGCATTCATTGAGCAAAGCAGTGCATGATCCAGCTGAAAACATAAGGGGCCATTGCTAAGCTAAAAGAATGAGCATGAAGCTATAAGACACAACTATTAAAGACAAACCAGAGGAAGGACAAGACATATGACAAATGGGAATAAGAATGAAGGCACTTGAAAAATCTAGCTGCATTAAACACAGCCTGTGCGAAAGATCCTAACACTGACTGAAAAAATCATCCCTCCAGAATCAAGAAACAATGAGAAAGTGATTCAGAGATGACAAGTGAATGACAGAGTGCCAAACCCCTGCATTTATGGGGATGAAAATAAAATTGACACTAAAAGCCCTGAGTGGGGTGGGAAACAGATTCTATAGCTCTCGCTGCCAAAAAGGATAGGAAAGAGGACAAAGAGAAAGAAGAGGTGGAATAAGAAATAGGAGAGAGAAACAATAAGAAAGAATGTGCAGAACTTCAGAGTTGTTGGAGAAGTGGAAGAGATGTGCACTGACACGAAAAAGAGTCCAGGATTGGTTCCAAAGAAGGGTCACTGCCTAGAGCTATAATTACTAACGATGTGGGAGGGGGAAATAACAAACAGAAGTGAGGGAACAAGAAACAGGAGAACGATAGCCCAACATGATGCCTGAGGAAGAATGGCAGAGGTACCCATTGATCATTGAGTTGGAAAATAAAGTGCCTATATTCCAAGGAGTCAGGAAAACCCTAAAGACTAGATGAAAGACCCAGATATAAGAGGAAGGCATGCAGACACATAACTGAGAAGATCCTAAAAAGAAAAACACCATGTCAAAATAGAAACAAAAGTTGAAAATAAAGAAGAATAGGTGTTCTCACAAAAACAACTGGGTTTGTAAAGATTAGCCTCAGTGACATGGTGAAGGACAGAAATAGAGTAAAGGAGTATGGTAAATATAGACAAAAACAAACATATAGCTCAAAAGAAAAACAAAGAAGGAGACAGAAGAGTACCCCAAGTAAAAAGAAAGGACATAAGTGATTGGGGATCAAAAAATATAAAAGGGCTAGGACTTGAGGCTATAGCAAAGGGTTCACACAAAAAAATGAGGGGCAGTGCAGAGTTGCAACATAAGGAGGCACACTAAGTACAGTAATTAAAAAGACATTATGATATACATGTAAAAAAAGATAGAATATCACATACTTAATTCATGAGCATAAAAAAAAAATGAGGAGGAAGTACCTGTTCCTCATCAAGGAGTGAAGAGCCTGAAACAATGGCCATAGATGAAAGAACTGGCCAAAATCGTCCACAGGCAAGGCAGACTCCACAAAAGGCAAAGAAACAACAAAAAAGAAGAAATAGGCACTTGATGCATGAAAATGGCAACATCAACAGTTAACTTGGTACACCATGGTTCATCACAGCTTAATAAGGTTGTTGAAGTTGTCCATGATGTTAAAAGAACCTCATCATAAAGTGAAATATGAGACTGTAATGCAGGAGTATGCTTTACAAAGTGAGCTAAAGGGATAACAACTTGCAGTTGCTGTTGAGTCAGTTAGATAAAAAGCCTGAAAAGGAATGTCAGGTCTCAGGAGCTTTTTTTTTTCTTTAATAATTTAATCTGACACGCATTGTTGAAAGAAGCCTGAAGTAGTTAGAGAAAACGAATATGCAATCAGTTGGATGTAACAAAAGTGTAACAAGAACAAAAGCAATGTAACTTTAAAGAAAGAAAGGCAGTCAATTATTTCGACTAGAAATTCAAAAAGCACAGGAAAAAACATGTCTGAATGCCAAGGAATGAATGAGCCTATGATCACGTGCTTGTGCTCATGGGGATTACTGTGTATGGAGGTCATGTTGCCCTCATATTGGTGGAGAGGTACTGCATTATGATGATTATATCATAGGTTGGTGCAATAAATGTAGACACATGTAGGGATGGGATTTTGTTCAAGGTATTTTGCTTGCACAGGAAGTACCATGGCAGTTTTGTACAAGGAAATAACTCTCAGTGCTAAGTAGCGTTTTTAAATTTCATTTTCCAAAACAACTGAAATTGTTTATATTTTATGTTAACTAGAAACAAACCTACACACACCCCTCAGTTTTATGGTATCCTAAAACTCTCACATAGAAAAAATATGATACAAACAAAATATATATATACTGAATTCCTCAAAAGTTTTAATAACTTTATTTGTCAAAAAATGTAAAAGAAATTGCTCAATAAATTCCATTTTTAATGTCTACACATTTCTTTGATTCTACACACTATTAAAATAAAGGATAAATACTGAAATACCTCTGCTTTCTGTATGGGAGACATACGACAACATAATACAGCAGTACATTCACGACACACTTTATAAAAATTGTCACAATATTCATGTAGAATATGTGCTAGTATGTGACCATCTACAACTAGAGCAAAAGTTTTCAAAGTCTCTTCTTCTATCCTGAAAATAAACATTGACGAATGTTTCAAAGGAAAAAAATGAATATAAACTTAATATAATCTGTAAAAAAATAGTGCTAAATTATATTCTATTAAACTGTAACTTATGTTGTCTGGAAATTAATTCAATTCTTTGAATAATTGAGTTTTTTATATAAAATCCTTTTAAAATTTTCAATTTGTCTTGTGATCATATCTTTTAAGAGAAACATAAACAATTACAAAAAAAATTAGTTGTTAAGAAGCAGCAAGTCTTTAGAAAACGTTACAAAATGTATTCATAAAAAAAGCATAAAATTACTTACATGGTTTTAATCTCTGTCAGTTTTCTGTAATACTGACTACTGGCTTCCTCCTGTGTCAACTTTATGACTTCCATGTCTCTCTGAAAGTGACCTGAGGAGTAACAGATGTTAACTGCTGTTTCTTCTTTATCTCCAGTTAGCACCCAAATCTTAAAATTGTGAGAAAACAAATAAAACATATTTTCATATCAGTTTTATGTACAGTGGTAATTAAATAATAGAGGTGGTTTTCATATGACTGAGAAAATACTAGCTTTCTATAACCTTGTCACAAATTTATGCACTTAATACAGTAGATAAGTTTCTGAAAAGGTACTACCTCTTCTAACCCAAAGCTATTTCAATCCTGGTCTGCCTTCTAAGCACTGTCAAAAAACATTTCATTACAGCACACCAGTCTTTATACCCCATCAGTTTTGCATCATTTCAGAACATCTGCTGATCATGTGACTATTCTCCACCAATTGTACTGTGCCACCTATACTAGCACATCTAGCATCCTCTTCTATTCTAGAATAATCTTCACTTTCTCAATCTGCATTCTAGTGTGTAGACATGTGTTTTAACTCTCTCTTCATGTGACTACAAAATTGTGATTGTTCTTGATCACAAATTTTTATATCAGTTTCAACTTCTTATGTTTGATTTCCATTGTTTCTACTCGTTTTTTTTTAGAAAAATTTCTGTTTTCCAAATTCTAATTTGTTCACATGAATTCGAAATTTAATATGGCTGATAATGAAATTCCTGCAACAGTTGACATTGGTTCTGACATGAGTCCCTAGGTCTCAGGATCAATGAAGTATGCTGGGGAAGTACAGGCTTGAATTTGCGAAGAGTTGATGTCTTACATTCAGCCGACAATTTCTTTCTTTCACTTATGATTTTTTTGTGAGGAAAGATATAACTACTGATTGGAAATTTCATTCTATTGCACCTTCCACCTGTTACCATGCCTCCATGTAAACCCTTGAGTTAGGTATTGTTCTATTTCCCAGGGGATTTGAGGTACATTTATCAGTGTGTATTCCTTACTCCCTGTAGATAAACCCATGTTTAGCAAGTTTATGTGACCTTGTATGGATTAACCTAATTTCCTTATATGATAATTTAGGTCTTTCATGTCTTCTTTTCTCATTATTTAGTAAATAAGATTTTTTAAATTATTTTACCATCTGAGTTACTTTAGTTTAAATTTGCATTTAGAGTTTGATTATTACTTTGTTTTTGTTAAATTTTTAGTATATGTATGGGTTTTGTACAATAGTTACTGTTTGGGTAATTGTAACTTTGGCCAATTTTGTGGATGTGTTGGTTCGTTATTTATATTTCCTTTCACTGTTTAGGTTAGTTAGTTTGTTAGATCCTATTTCTTTACATCTAGTGACATCAAATTGGGGATTATATTTGAACCAAATTTTGTTATTGTTAACTGGGAGCTTTTTCATTCTCATGTTCCTCAGGGTAGGTTATACTTTCATGTCTTTTGTCTTCTCCATTCTTTGAGTGGACTTATAAGTTCAATATTTATGTGTCTTTTATCAATATTCCAGGGTCGTTTCTCTTCTCAGTTCACAACAGTTCCATGGTTTCTGGCTGAAGGTTTCTGCCTTCAGTTCTGCTCCCCCCATATGCACTTCCCAGATCTCCTTTCCTCCTCCTTGGGATCATACCTCTTCCAGTCATCTTGCCTAATCTGTTCAAGACCTACTACACAAATGGGCTGTCAACCGAGTGGTACCCACCCAACTGGGGGTTTTACTCCTGTCTAATTATTGTCCCTCAAAAGACAGGATATTGGAGACCCATCATAGGCTTGTCACAGTTGAACTCTTATTTGGAGCCACCTTGCTTCACCATGGAGTCCTACCTCTCACTTTGGAAAGTTTTTTCCCAGGAGTCTGGATGACAAAATCATTGTGACAGATGCCTATCTTCAGATTCCAACTGCTCCAGTGTCATGTCATTTGCTTCGGTTCATCCATGAGTGTCATTTTTTCCAGTTCCAGGCACTGCTGTTTGGTCCTTCTTCAGCTCCACGTTTTGTCAAGTGATACACTCTTTTGCCCATCATTTTTATTAATTGGGTCTTCAGACTCTCCTTTTCATGGATGACTGGCTCCTGCTCAGCTCTTCCCATGCCCAGTCAGTGAATCATGTCTGCTTACTTCTTTGGGAAACTAATCATGTAGGGTTTTTTGATCCAGTTGGAGAAGTTCATTCTTAACCACACTCAATATCTTATTCCAATGGGGGTTTTCTTCAATTCCCATCTTTGTCAGGCCCAGCCTTCTGCACTTTGCATCAGGCATATGAAGCAGGCAGTCTCAATGGTCCTACCCTCTCCTTTTCTCAATGGATGAGAGTTCTTTCTCTTTGTGGGATGTGAGCTTCCTTGGAAGCTCCCATTCCATTGGGTAGAGCTCACATGCATTCCCTTCAATGAAAGCTTCTTGACCAATGGAACTTCTCCCATGATCCCTTGGGCCATCCCATTACCCTTCCCCCCCTGGGATCAGAGCTGACCTTGTCCGGAGTCTCATCTGTTTATCAATCCTTCCTTGGTGGGTTGGAGGTCTTTCCTCAATTCGCAAGAGATTTCCAGTCAATGGTCCATTGTGGAGGCTACTCTCCTTTTTCAACATTATTGAACCTTGTCAGTTTCTTGGGCTCCATGTCATTTCCTTCCACTCCTGAGAGGGGTTTATTCTGACTATTCCACTGTCATTGGCTATATCACCAAGCAAGGGGGAACCAAATCCAGATCTCTATGTTTTCAGACTCTGTCTGAATCATCTTTACCGGGCCCATGTCTACTACATGGTGATCTTGGCATGTCATGTTCCCGGCATTATGAATATGATGGCCGATCATTTATCTCGACCCAACTAGGTATCCCCCATGGAGTGGTTCCTTCTTCCACGGGTCTTTTGGTGGGTGTGTTCTAAACTGGGAATATCACATATAGATGTGTTTGTCACACACTAAAACACTAAAATTTCTTCAATTTGGTCTCTGGTTCCACATCCTTCACCTCTGGGAGTAGATGAATTCAGTCAGGATTGGAGGGGTTTTCATCCATATGATTACCTTCCGATCAGACTTCTCTCCAGAGTCTTTTCCCTCATCCGGACCATTCCATGTTGTGTCTTCCATGTTGCTCCATATTGGTCTGCTCAGAGATAGTTCCCTCTGCTCTGGCCCTTACTGGAGTAGCATACCCTGCCCTCACCTCTGTCTCAGTCTCTCACTGAGATACTCATAATGTTTAGGATAAGAAGCGAGTGACATCACTATTTGATACACATTACTGTTAGACTGTGTCAACTTCATAGCAGTAATTTTCCCATTGTATAACCAAAATCTTATGTTTATGAATATACAAAATAATAAATAGAACGCTAAAATAATACCTTTACAGTCTATGAAATTGTTACAATGTTAAATGTAATACAAGGAAAATGGCACGCTAAACATATATGGTGTGTCTAAAAAACTTTACCACTCTCAGTTTAAATATATCATGTAACAAATATATAAAGCTGGCTCCATGAAGTAATAGATAATATTGTTATGACAGAGGAAGTCACACGATGCTGGTGGCACATGATGAATTTCTCGAATGATCAGGGAGGCCCGAGTGTATTCAAGATGCCCCCTTGTTGGCATATAAGCCTGGCAGAGAAGCCAGCAATAGATAAATAATTAAAGAAGCAAACAGTAGTGACAGTAATATAAAGTGTGTGTTTGTAGAGAGAAAATTTATCGAGATTGTAAATCGCTGTGATTTATAGCGTGTATTATAAAAGTAGTTAAGTTTAAAGAAACGTACTGACTGTGGAATCACTGTGTTCTAAAAGTTTGTATCAAGAAAGAATAAACTGGTTTAATCAAGAAGGGACTTGTATCCCTGAAGTTCCTCAGAAATAATTTATACCACAAATTAACATGGACCTAATCAGCCTCAGACAATGGGAAGCCCCTTCCAGATCCCGCAGCTAAACCCTAATGCAGACATCTTCAGTCCTGTCAGAAGTCACATTCCAGACACAAGTGTCAACAATAGGGGTGATCTAGTACGAAGAAGCCACGGGAATTCGATGGAAAGGCACCATGGGAAGCATATAGAGAACAATTTGAGCTCCTGGCAGAAATGAATAGATGGACAGAGAAGTAGAAGGCAGTGTACCTGGCAACGAGCTTGAACGGACAACCACTGGAAATACTTGGACAGTTGTCAGCAGATGATAGACACAACTGGAGAGCACTGGTAGCTGCTCTAAAACACAGGTATGGAACTCAAAATTAGTCCGAAGTCTACAGAGCTAGGTTAGGACAAGAGACCATGCTAAAGGGAGAGCCTGCAAGAGCCGGCACAGGATTTGGAAAGTATGGCACACAAGGCCTACCCCCAACTGCACCACCCGATGTCCTCAAGCTGTTGCTGAAGGATCAGTTGTGGACTGTCTAAGATACGAGTGAAGCAAGCACACCCCTCTACTATACAAGATGCAATGGCCAGAGCTCTTGAAATCGAATCCTATGTTAAGTCAAGCACAGAGGTACCAAGGTTGGTACAGTCATCAGGATTCAAGAAAAGGGCAGCTTTCAGAGAAGTTTGAGGGCCTTTGCTGGCACTGTCACAAACCCGGGCACAAGAGAGCTCAATGCTGGCATCTTCAACACAGGGAAGATGCCATGGCAGGAAAGGCTGCTACC